ATACCAGAGTGGTTTTTTAAAGGACCAAATCCATAATGGATTTTCAAATTTCCAGAGTGGATTTTGTGAGCTTCGTCCGCAAGGTGGCGCTAGTGTCGCTTTTTCTAGTCAAGCAGTTAAAAGAGCTCCCCAAGCCGGGAGAAAATGTTTCAACACTTCGAAGTAGAGGGAAACTGCAAGGTCTTCTTCAGACTCACGTACCTACGTATGTTTGACCTCTGTATGATAATTATAGCCTTAGCTATTTAAAATCTTGGGTTGCTCTCGCTTGTCGCTACGGGTCGCGATTTAGTTAGGTAAGCGGACTCTCTTCCCCGACATGTGCGAAGTGAATTGCTAATCGCACATCACACATTTTTGGGCTTGGCTCTTTTGCCCTCTGGGTGCTAGCCCAGCCGATCAGGTCGGCTATCAAAGCTGAAGATTTTGGACAAAACTATAACTACTATGCACCACTCATACGCCACTTTGGATCTCATTGTTTCCAGAATGGATTTTCAATTTCCATTATGGAAATGTTTTCCAGAATGGAATATGAAAACCCAGAGTGGAAAAATGTTCCAATTTACATATGGATTATAAAACCATATGGATATCAAAAACCAGAATGGAAATATTCCAGACCAAATATCCATATGGGATTTAAACAGGGTTGTTAACGCTAACTTAGCGACTAGCGTTGCTAACTTAGCGCGCTAACGCTAATTTAGCGATTAGCGTTAGGCGCTAAACATTTTGGGAGGCGTTAGCTTTAGCGTTAGTACGCTAACATGCCCCTTAGCGATTTAGCGGTGCTAACGCTAATTCGGCTCTTGCAACCGGTCAAAGCTTACTTGATTCTTGCCGAGATACCCGCTTTTTTCTCCCCTCTGGGCGAGCTTCCCGGGGCCGGGCGGGTGTATTCCCCGTATTCCCCCTCTCCGCTCGCCCACCCGGCGTCGTGTTTCAGCTTCAGCGTATTAGAGCTGAATACAAGTTGAAATATATAAAGAGTAAATGAAAACATAAGTTGTTTATTTGGGGACTAAGACTGATTTAACTGTGCTATTGCATATTAATTGTTTTATTTGCCTGCTTTTTAAGCCTGAGAAAGTTTTCTATCGTTAGCATCGCTTAATAGCGTTAGGGCTGCTAAATCGCTTTTTAGCTTTAGGGCCGCTAATTCGCTAATTAGCGTTAGCGCGCTAAAACTTCTCTTAGCGGCTGATTTAGCGCGCTAAATTTTTCGAACAGCGCTAATAGCGTTAGCGTTAGCGCGCTAAAGTTTCAAATTAGCGTTAACAACCCTGGATTTAAAGCTGGGCATAGGGTGGCCCGTGCCGTGCCGCCTGTGGCCGACCGATCGGCGGCGCGGCGGAGGCGAGAAAACAGAGCGGCAGCAAGAACGCCTCCACTGTTTTCAGAGGCAATACAGCGGAGAAGCATTATCCCCCAATGGCTCACCGATGGGCTTACGAATTTTTTCAGAGAAAAGTCAGAAAAAAAAGTCCTGATACTGCTCGTAGATTTAAAACCGTGAGGCGGCGTCCATGGTCCACTGAAAAAAGAAGAAGTACGGAGTTGCTCTGATCAACAATTTGCCTGGACCACCCTTAGCTGCGAAGTACAGAATTTTCTGTACCTGTTTTCCGGAATTTTCTCCCGTGACCTCACTGTGTCGTTTTATTCAAATTTCGAACTGATTGTAACGTGGGTACTACAGTTTCAGAAGCATTTTTCGACACATGTGTGCGTGGTAACAGGCGGCAGGTGCTTCTCATCCCGAGCGCAGGTCATAAATACAAATAGGGATTCAATTGACTTTTTTTTCCGGGTGGCTTGTTGGTAAGAAGCACGCGCCGCGTCACAAGGACCCATTATTTGTCTCGCCGCGGGACGCCACGCCCCGCCCGCATCCCCGCTGCAAGTCACACCTCCAGCGCCCCCCCCCCCCCCTCCAGATGATCCCCCGCTCAGCCAGCCAACCCTTTTTTGACAGACCCGCGCGGCCCGCAAACGGACCGGGTCCAGACTAATTATTGTGACGACACACACTAAATTACTACATGTAGTTTTTTCCTCGTGCAATAGCTTTGCACAGAATTAAGCATACGCGTGAAATGCACGAAATCGTACGCTAAACAACGCACGGTGCTGCCTAACAATGCAATTCAATGCATTTCAATGCGGATGCTCAGTTTCGTGCATAGCAATGCACAAAAAGCTTGAGTAATATCAAGTGAGCACGAAAGTCGGCGATGACCGCAAACTGGGGCCTCTCCTTAACAACAAAAAGGAGTTAAGGATGAACTGCACGTTATGCTTTGGCGATTCGATTTCTAGTCTTTATGGGAAAGCACACTAAATAGAATCATTTGACCTTTTGCTGTCGATTTCTTTTTAAAAAAAATCAAATATTCATGTGATGCTACACAGAGCTAAATTTTTTTGCTCACCACGACTAAGATCGTCAAATTGCCTTGTAAAGTGTAAGAAGACACACTATCTCCTGCACCTTTAGAATGGCTTTTCGCGCTGAAAGAATTGAACAGATTTTTCAGTTGTGGTAGAACGCTTTCAACAGAGTGCCAGGCTCCAGGGAACCTCTCCTCACCGGCTGGCTGACGTCTTCTTTGCGCTGGGTGCTCTGCTCTGTGTGTGTGTCTGTGTGTGCGCGCGCGCGCGTGTGTGTGTATACAAATCAGGCATTGTTGCTGCGGGAGCCCCAAGTAGCAATCAGTCAGAACTAAACCGTTTTTGTCTCAGCCGCGCTCACCCTGCGTCCTTCGTGCCGGCGGCATCCCTTCAAGACAGATGGGAGCGGGTGGCGGCCGACCGTGGAGACCGCCTGCCGACCCAAACACACACACACACACGCACGCATACACACACACACACCGCACTTATTGCGGGTGGACCTGTTGCAGCGCACTGTGTCTGCCATGCCGTACGGCAGTCGAAGTTTCACCCCTCCCTTTTTCTTTTCCTGGGATGAAATTTTCACAAACGTAATATTATGCAAAATCTAAAAATAATTGAAAGTGACGCCAGACTTTATTGACGTTGCAATCGAATGTGTTATCAAAGCGTAATTCCACAAACGCGCTTGACACTTAAATCTGTGCACACATACTCGCACACTGAATGCTTAGACATTTTGTAGACAAGTATTGACGTAATTTTTACAGGTTTAAGCTATATGTAAAAAAAAATTCCCCCAAATTAGGGACTTTTTTCAAACTACATAAGCACAGCAAATATTTCCGGTAATTTATGTATTAAATTGTTGTACAAATCTAAACCTCGCAGTAATACGTCAATAGTAATAGACAGTGAAGGTACGCGCGTGTCTCTCTCTCTCTCTCTCTCTCTCTCTCACGGAGAGCATGGCAGCGGGCACGTGGCGAGACTCATGTCAAAGTGCAACGCCTCATCTTCGTGTCCACAATTTGTTCGCTCGCCACCAAATTTGCGCGATGCCCATCTCTCTGGTCGCGGCGCCGCGCTAATCTTCGCTGAGGCCGCACCAAACTATTTCTGAGGCCAGCGATCGCGCAGAATCACAATCCAACATGCGCAGCCAAATCCAAAAATGCACGCTGCCACTTTTTTCCGAGTCTAGCTGCTGTAGCTCGGGACCACCGCACACTGGGGAGCAAGAGTCACAATAACACACTAATCACTACGTAGTTTTATTTTTTTGCATAGCTTTGCACCAAATTGAGCACACGCGTTTTAGGCGCTAATTCGGACGCTACAACGCACGTGATGCTGCATACAGCAATGCACCTATTCATGCTTGGCAAAGCACGAATTCGTACACATCAAAACGTTACGCTCAAATCTGTGCAAAGCAATGGACATAAAATAGGCAGTAATTTATTATGAACGAAATAGGTACGTATATGTGCGACACGCTCCAGCTTATAGGGCAGATGAAAAACGGGACATATCAATCTGGTTTTGTGCAAAATCCTGTCAAAATTTGTGATAAAAGTTCGTCAGAGCAAAAAGGAAACCTGTGACGTCTCGTGCAAAATTTGTACAAACCATTTAGTGTGAAAAACTCCCACAATTTATGTGACAGAGACAAAAGTCTACGTGCAATAGTAAAATTAATTTTTAAAAAGAAATTTTGCGGTTCAATATCCAAAAATGCGCACAACAAACACACATACACACACACACGGTGCGCAAACAGGGCGACAATTGCGTCTACTAAATGGTGTATAATTATTTCTGTCGCGCAACGCCGCACTGCACCTTGCCCTAGACAACACCCGGCCAGGCTGTGAGCCCCTCCACGGCGTTGGGGGAGATATGTCAGTTTGAGGTCCCTCCGCGTGTGTGTGCGAGTGTGTGTGTGTGTGCCGGGCGCGCGCCACCGCCCCGCCCTCTGTGCGTAACGAGACATGCCGCTCACCCACAAGCTGCTCCTCTCGCCCGAATGGATAATTAATCAGAACCATGTTTGAGGCCGCTCCTTCTCATCTTGAAAATCTCCAGTTTCGCCACTTTACAGCACTGTTGAAATAAGGGGGACAAAGACGAAACAGAGAAAGAGAGAGAGAGAAGGGGGGCGGGGGCTTCCCTCGTCCACGACTGCTACTACTTCTTATTCAGCCGCTATTTCCTGTTCCGGTCGTATTAAAGGGCTCTTTTGTTAAAGGCTCCGTCGTGGCTTGCTCCTCTGTAAGTACACATTGCCCTGTGTGTGTGTGTGTGTGTGAGGGGGCACCGTTCCGACTGTCCCCGGCCGGGGCCTGCGAGGGGGCGTCGGGCGGATTAGGATGTGGCGGCGGGGTGCGGCTGGCGGCCCTTAGGGCCTTCAGAGTGAAGGGCCCACGGGGCACAAGGGTGAGCCACACACACACTAAGCGCCTCTGTACCGGAAGCTACCCCGATGAACACCTGCCGACTCTGTGAGTTTGCCCCCCACCCATTCTGCGATTACTGGATGTGAATGCCAGATCGAAAACGCGTGGTTACGGCAAGGAAAACTACATTTCATATTTAATAATTTCCCACTTGTTTTCAGACAACGGTTTACAGAAGAGCGAATTGAAGAAGCACCATGAGATACGTGAGCAAAACCACCAACACCTGCCGGAGAGAAATCCCTTCTGTTAATCAGGAATGTTTTCTAAATCAAAACTTTACTTGAAGCGGAGAAGAAAACCCAGATTTTATCGAACGTACCGAACCTAGAAATGGCCTGTTCAATGGAACGAATCCACACAGTCGTATGGCGGCGGACTTCAAAACCATATTTTGACGAAAAACGTCCAGCTGCAACAACACACTATTGTATGAGGAAGTCTATGCGGAATCCCGGCAGAATACCCTAATGGAATTCCAGACTAGACTCTACTCTGAAAATGCCAGAATGCTCGTGGTCTCAAATTTGAACTGGACCAATATGTCTAGATCTAGTTTACACAACGATTGACTAATTGCCATGGTCGCTGGGGGTGGGGCATTGATAGATCTATAGGTCCCACTTACCTCATATTCCACCGCTGGGCTAAGGTTCGCGGCTGGAGTGCTCTCCAAGAGTACTGCTACCATTTGCATCTGAAAGAACCCTTGTAATCAAAATCTCTCACAATTTCTAGCCCGCAAACCAACCCCAACCGAGTTCAACTGGACACGCGAGGCCCCAACGGGCACTGAAAAATACTGTCATTTCAGTTTCATCACAAACAATCTACACTGTGACAAAAAAGTACGGAAAAAGTACGGAACATGTCTGGTCAATAATTTGCCTGGACCGTTCGTACTTGCCAACTACGGAACGTTCCGTACTTTTTTTCCGTACCCATTTACATGGGTTCATATGGAGCAAGTACGGAACGTTCCGTACTTTTCTCCGTACCTCCGTACTATATTTTTCTGTACCATTTCCGTACAAAAGTACGGAATTTTTTACAGTGTAAATTATGCATAAGTTACGTACGCCTTTTGAATGCAAAACTTTGCAGCATGAGCAACTAAATGTTGTTGTTTTTTTTAATCGTACACTTAAAATGTCTTAAGATGAAATTTCCCATTATGAGAAAGTAGTTTTTCTTCGTATGACGGTGGTTTTTCTTTGAATCTTACTGTGAAAATACAGAAAAGATTCGTACTATTACAAAGGAACATTCCTTTGCGCCGAATTCACTATTACATAGCTCAAATTTAATGGTAAGACATTTTGAGTGTAAAGGCTGTTTCGTGCCTAAACAATGGCTCTATAAGTATGGCTAATCAAAGTTTAGTGAATGCGAACCTTATCGGCGACCTTCTGACCCGAGTCGCACAGCGTGCTGGAAGACACCAGCGAGACGGTGGCCAGGATGGTCATCCACAGCGTGGCCCAGGTGAAACCCTTCGCACATCAAAATGTGAATCAAACTTGATCGTCGCATGGCGTATTGTCCGCGACACAAAGAATATTGAAATGCGCGTGCCTCAGGGGAGTTCTCCTACCCAATAGTGGGGCCCCCACTGGGGCCTGATGACCGGTGGCGGTGGCAAAAACTCTTGACGCGTTTTGAGCTCCAGAGTCTCTAAATGGGACTCGAACCGAACCACGCGTGTGACCCCACCAATGGATTCCTCGCTCGGAGAACAATCCATTAGTGGAATCACACGTTCGGTTCGAGTCCCATTTAACGACTCTGGAGCTCAAAATGCGTCCGGGATTTTTGCAAGGGGGAAATCACTCATGAAAATGGTCGACCGACTATTACATTTTGAATCATTACAGACAATTACACCTATTACGCAAATTCCAGATATTACATCGATATTTCTGCTATTACAGTACCATTACAGTGCAATTACAGCAATTACAGAAATTACAGCAATTACAACCATTTCGCCCATTACGCACTTATTACTCAATTACACAGGTATTACCTATCAATTACAGCTATTACACTACTATTACAAGGCTATTACGCAGCTAAAACGGCCTTGGAAATAGTTTTCAGCCTCCAGAGGGACTATTTTGTTCCGTGGGCATGGGGTATCGCTAGGGAGTACAGCAGTGGCAGCTCAGCTGGTCGCTGTTGTTAGCTGTCTCGGGGGATCTTTCATCCCCCCCCCCAAATACCTTTTGTAAAAGAATCCGACCACCGCGGCCGGCCGGCGCTACCCCTCGCCCAGGTAGCTGCTGGAGGTAGCTGTCTGGGCGCGCGGGGTATCGCCGGGCCGGGCTGGTCGGATTCTTTTGGAAGTGGTTGTACCATCTATTTAAACAGTTACGGCTCTCAACTACCCCTCCTCATAAAATTCGGCCCTTGCATTAATCATTTTCCATGAGAAAATTGGGAATTTGAATCTTGGCCGAAATATCATTTGACAAGAATGTCTATTGGCCACAGGAACCTTTGTCTTTCCAATCAATTAATAGCTTGTACCTATTAAACTAGATTAGGGTTTAGACTACCCCTCCTTACGGATTCAGCCTCTCGCCTGCCCCCACTAGAGTCCCGCCCTCCCTCCCCCACCCCACATGCCACTAATGGCTTGCTTTCGGCTCGATCCGGACGTTGGGTATTACTTTTATTGCAGCCAAATGACTTTTTCGCTGACTTTCGCGAATTTTTTAGTCATTTTCTGTATTTTTCTTCCCACATATTACACCTATTACACACCTATTACAGGCATTACAGGACCATTACAGGCATTACACCAATATTACAGCCATTACATCGGTATTACACATTACAGGGCCATTACAGGGCTATTACAGACCCTTCGACCGACCATTACACAAGTGATTTCCCCCTTGGATTTTTGCCGCCCCCACCGGCCTTCTGGCTCACTATGCTCCCCCGCGCCAATGTGCATCAAAGCCGAGGGGTGAATCGCAAGTGTACTCATGTGTACAAATTTGCCCGTACTCAGTGTACTCACAAGTTTAAAAAGGGTAAAATTCACCAGTTTTTCGACCGATTTAGCGTTGAGTGCCTTATAAAACGCTAAATAAAGCCTTAAAACGTTTATAAACGTGAAATTTATGAGTAAAGCAAGGTGTACTCACGCGTACTCATGTACTCATGTGGACGCGGAGTGATCCACCCCTCGATCAAAGCGCATTTAAAGCGGGGATGCACATTGAAATGCACATAAAAGGTAACACATTTTAGGCGTCTTTTGTGTATTTACGCGCATTAATGCGCATTTAACGCTCACAATCGCATTAAATGCGTCTAAAATGTGATACATGTTACGTGCATTTCAATGCGCCTTGGTGCATTGGGCGCTGCTAGGGCTACCTTGATTATGGCCAGAACCGTTTGCACGGAGTACAGCAAGAGCGACAGGGCCTCCACGGCCTGGAGGACGAGCATGGACGTTCCTCCCTTGAGACCGATTTCGTCCAGGATGTCCCGCAGGGCCATCCACAGCCGCCGGAACGTCCTGAGACGCGCCGCCTCGCCAGGCCCGACCTTCATCGTGTTCGATTCGACGTCCTGCGGCGGAAGAACGCTGGACTGTACTGTTGTCGAAAGATTCTTGGCTCAAGTTTCTGCGCATCCTGAAAGAGCTGACAGTGTGCATCACCTGACAGCCGGCCAGAAGTGGGCGTTCGGAACGTTCACACTTAATGTTTTGGTAGAATTTTGTACGTGCCACTTGCACGATTTTGTGCATACGTGGAGTTTGCATAATATCATGCGTAAGGACGCATAAATTTATGCAAATTCACGCACAATTTTATGCACGACGGCACACAAGTTTAAAATTATGCATCACCACGTACAAAATTGTACATAAATATTTAGTGTGTTCTCGATTCGAGACAATAAAGTCGATAGAAATGTACATAGGATGAAAACTGCATTGATTGGAAGTCGCTTCGAACGCACAGTTTCGGCTTGGAGTCGACGCTCGAGTTAGCGCCAGGCCAAAGAGGGCAGTCCAAGCAAGATCTGCCTTGCACATTCTCACACAGATTTGAGTGGTTAAAAACACCTTATCCGGCCAGAGTGGGCCAGACAGCCACCACGGGTGGCCAAACCCCCAGACGCGTTTTTAGCTCCAGAGTCGCTGAATAGGACTTGAACCGAGCCTATGACCCTACCAATGGATTCCTTCGTTCGGAGAGCAATCCATTGGAGAGGTCACAAGTTCGGTCCGAGTCCTTTAAAGCGACTCTGGAGCTCAAAACGCGTCCGGGATATCGACCGCCACTGTGCGCACCTGCAGCCTGGCCTTCTGGAAGGAGGTGACGAGGAGGCCGGCGGCCTGGTCCACGGCGCCGAGCATGCGCCACCAGAGCAGTTTGAGGGACATGACGAGCAGCGTGCAGTACGCGAAGAAGGCGGCGTGGCCCGGACGCATGGCGGCCTCGGGCAGCAGCCACAGCGGCAGCGCCACGAAGGGCGGCCAGGCCGCGCACAGCAGCGCCACCGAGGCCGTGGACGCGGCGCGCGACGAGGACAGCCAGCCGCCGCCAGGGCCAACGCGGCACGCGCGCTCCAGCTCGGCCTGCCGGCCCACCGAGCGCCGGGAAGGATTCTTGAAAAAGGCTCTCTAAATCATGTCGAGAGGCGATTTGTGCTACAAACTGGCAACAGGCGGTTCTAGACTAATTCGACCCCGCTGAAAACGATGCGCTCTGTTGCCAAGCTCGATTTTTGCATTTAAGCCCCTAAATTCAAGATGGCGTCCAAAATGGCCGCCAAAAAGCTCGTTTTTTCTGAAATATCGAGGTACGCTCAAGCGTCGCTGTATTATTTTTACAGTTTAGGGGTAAAATAATATAAAGTACACATTGTGTAACCATTTCCAACCATCTGCACATTTTTCAGGGGCGCAAATGCCAAGACGGCGTACGAAAACGTCAAAATATACCAAAAATCCGTGTTTTGAAACGGTTTTCTGCTCCTTTTGCCCGTGATTCACATGCAATGGCAGTTCTTGTCAATCTTCGTAAATTTCCACGATTTAGAAATATACGGGGTCTAATGTGTAAGGGTTTAGTTGCTTAAATGGCGTCCGAAAACGTCCATAAGTACGAAATATTGCTGTTTTTCCTGGAAACTTGCCCTATTTTGTTCGGGTTTCGTGTTCGATGTCAGTACTCATTATTCTTTGTACATAGTCACGTGATGACCATGTCGGGAAACACTCTTTTACGCCCTTCAAGGGGTCCTTTTAAACCCTTCGAAAGGGCGTTAATAATGTAGGATTTTTCTTAGCAAAATTTTAATGCCCTGCCAAAATGCACTAAAGATTCACGCTGCTCCGAGGGCGTACGTCGTTTTCGCCCTTAAAGGGCATAATCTTAATGCCTTTGTTTCACCAGTGTTATCACCGTAGTTTTTTTAAATCGACGGGTCTTGGGCTGAAAGTCGTCCGATTTCAATGACATTAAGCTCGCTGGGAAGGTAATTAAATTCCCCATCTTTAGAGACCTTAAGATTTATTGTGTCTCATGAGGTCCGTTCGTAGTTGAGAAAACTTTCCAACTTTAAGCTGCATATCAACTTGGGACCCTCTACACTGTCTGAAAAAATGGTTCCCGACAAATGAGGCTTGGCTATGATGTTAAAACGGAGGTGAGTTATTGTAAACGGGTGTTACGCCCTTCAACTTCCGTCAATTTCAATGAAACTTGGTGTCTCAAGTTACCCCGTACAGTTACGATTTTCTTAAAAATAGTCAATATTGGCCGATTGGTGATGGCTTCCCCTCAAAACCAATTCTACATTTAAAATGTTGAACTAATAGGGTTGAGAGATACACTGAGATTCCAAACGCCATGAGTATAGCACGTATGGTGCAATGCAGCTGAGATATCGCACCATACGTGCAATGCGAGAGCCATATTGCACCTTACGTGCGATGAGAGAGCCATATTGCACCTTACGTGCGATGCGTCCCGAAAATGCCCTATGCTAATGCATGGGAATGGGGAGGTATTGCACTTCGTGCTATGCTTTTGCATCGCACCAATTGACGCTATACACATAGCGTTTGGATTCTCAGTGAAATGCAGTCATTTGAGACTGGTCAACAATTGTCAACAAATTGTCAACAAGACTTGTTTCGAGTACCACGGGAGACTCTTAACACACTGAGAATCCAAACGCTATGAGTATAGCGTCAATTGGTGCAATGCAAAATCATTGCACATGAAGTGCAATGCCTCCCCTTTCCCATGCAAAAGCATAGGGCATTTTCGGAAAGCATTGCACCTATGGTGCGATATGGCTCTGGCATTGCACGTATGGTGCGATATCACAGCGCATTGCACCATACGTGCTGTACTCATAGCGTTTGGAATCTCAGTGCACTCCTCTAAAATTGTTAAAGTTCTTAAAATTGAAAAATCGTTTTGAAAGTGATCAGCATGGTCCTAACCCGCCGTTCAAACGCTTAATCGTCTTTCCAAACAAGTATGAAACACGTCCTAGGGCAGTTTTGACCTCCGAATGTGCCGAGCTAGGTGGCACCTCCTAAAAGGTGGAAAAGCAGAAGTGTCTCAAGTTACCCTTGCTGTCTCAAGTTGCCCCGGTTTACGGTAAGTGCCGCATGGTAGGGTGCGAAACGTCCACAGATACGACACCGATACTAAGTTTAATTTTGAACGTTTTAAACACTCTCATCCCGGTAACGTTCAAACGAATGTGACAAAATGTCACGTTCGTTTCGATCTGAATCAGCCATAACTTAGCTTATTTTCATTCAAACGAATGTGACACAATGCTCTAGGGAACGTGTCACATTCGTTTCAACGTGCCGTCAAGATCCTGGAATGAGAGAGTGGTTCTTCAACGTGTCATTTTAAGTACGAATTAGAGGCACGACTCATGAATGCAAGAATGAATTGAGACTTGCTTGCCCTATCTTATGCTGCAAGGGCATATAGGCCCCTTGCTCGTTTAATCGATTGTTCCCTGGGGCTTTCGCTACTCTACCACATGCATAATGTGACAGAACTGACAACTCACGTCAAAACGGGTCAAACAAGGCAGAAATACTAATAATTATCGAATTTTCGTGTTATTTCATGTTTTTGGACGCCGTTTTGGCACATACGCCCTCCCGCATTGGACCCTGGACGTTTTCAAAATGCGGAAATTTACGAAGATTGACAAGAACTGCCATTAACTATTTACAAAGGATAATGAGTACTGACATCGAACACGAAACCCGAACGAAATAAGGCAAATGACCCGGTAAACAGCAATATTCCGTACTTAAGGAAGTTTTCAGACGCCATCTTAGCAACTAAACCCTTCCACATTTGACCATGTATATTCCCAAAGCATGAAAATTTACGAAGATTGACAAGAACTGCCATTAACTATGTACAAAAGATAATGAGTACTGACATCGAACACGAAACCCGAACGAAATAGGGCACGTTTCCAGGAAAAACAGCAATATTTCGTACTTATGGACGTTTTCCCTTGTGGAAATATGGACACGCAGAGGACATCCGATTCTTGTCTTTAAGACGTCCTCATTGTCCTTCGTGTCCGTAAAGGCGTCCTTTACGTCTAATTTACGTCCAGTCGTCCTATAACGGTCCAGTAACTGTCCGCGCCGTCCACCGCCTTGTCCAACCTTCGTCGTACATGTCCAAGACGTCCGCCACAGTGCGTCCTACCCTTGTCCGTGGGGCGTCCCATTGCTGGCGGCCACAACGTGTCAGCACAGCGTCCGTGACCTATCCGTGTCACATCCACCCCTTGTCCACACAGCGTCCGTGACATCCCTGTCATGTCCACCCCTCGTCCAGGGGCCGTCCTACTGACGACGTCCACAAAGCGTCCGTGACATCCGTGTCACGTCCACCCCTCATCCAGGGGGCGTCCTACAGATGACGTCCACACAGCGTCCGTGACATCCGTGTCACGTCCACCCCTCGTCCAGGGGGCGTCCTACTGACGACGTCCACACAGCGTCCGTGACATCCGTGTCACGTCCACCCCTCGTCCAGGGGCCGTCCTACTGACGACGTCCACAAAGCGTCCGTGACATCCGTGTCACGTCCACCCCTCATCCAGGGGGCGTCCTACTGACGACGTCCACACAGCGTCCGTGACATCCGTGTCACGTCCACCCCTCGTCCAGGGGCCGTCCTACTGACGACGTCCACAAAGCGTCCGTGACATCCGTGTCACGTCCACCCCTCGTCCAGGGGGCGTCCTACTGACGACGTCCACACAGCGTCCGTGACATCCGTGTCACGTCCACCCCTCGTCCAGGGGGCGTCCTGCTGTCGACGTCCACACAGCGTCCGTGACATCCGTGTCACGTCCACCCCTCGTCCAGGGGGCGTCCTGCTGTCGACGTCCACACAGCGTCCGTGACATCCGTGTCACGTCCACCCCTCGTCCAGGGGGCGTCCTACTGACGACGTCCACACAGCGTCCGTGACATCCGTGTCACGTCCACCCTCGTCCAGGGGGCGTCCTGCTGTCGACGTCCACACAGCGTCCGTGACATCCGTGTCACGTCCACCCCTCGTCCAGGGGGCGTCCTGCTGTCGACGTCCACACAGCGTCCGTGACATCCGTGTCACGTCCACCCCTCATCCAGGGGGCGTCCTGCTGTCGACGTCCACACAGCGTCCGTGACATCCGTGTCACGTCCACCCCTCGTCCAGGGGGCGTCCTGCTGTCGACGTCCACACAGCGTCCGTGACATCCGTGTCACGTCCACCCCTCATCCAGGGGGCGTCCTGCTGTCGACGTCCACACAGCGTCCGTGACATCCGTGTCACGTCCACCCCTCGTCCAGGGGGCGTGACATCAGTTTTGAGATGCAATATTTCTGCTCGTGTTTTTCTCAAGTCCTTTGCTTTTGAGTTTTAATTATGTGAGCGAAAATGTTCTGGTAAGGCCATTTAGCCCTTCTCTTTCTATCACATGTACCTATCAGGTACATGATGATGTGATGTGGCATTGTGGATTGATTTTGATGAAAAATCATGCTCATGTGAGACTTGAATGTACACATTCCATGCTTGTCAGTGGCACAATAAATTGTGCCCTTTGATACTCTGTGAATTCTACATAAATGCTAATGTGCCATTGTATCATACTTAACTTTTTAAAAATTGTTGTACAGAAATTGTTTATCAAATGGTTACACGGTGGTAATGAACAACTTGGGTTTTCCCATGCCAGAAGTGAAGGAACTACCCTACCCAATATTTTCCACAGTTCAGCACAGCAACAAACAGGAATTGTTTGTAAAATGATTTATTGCAGCTTATAATGGTCAGTATGCATGTATTTGAGATTATGGGCATTATTAAAACACTAAAGTCAATACACAGATATCCAAAATTTATTATCACAAA